GGGGCGGGCCGTGGACCTGCGCTTCCTCCCCTCCGGCCTTTTCTGGACCCTCCGCCACAGAGGGGAAGTGGGAAACCGCCGCTGCTTTCCCGCCGCTTCGCCTCAGCCCGCGAGGGTCAGCCTGCAGGTAGGCGAGGCGAGACTGGGACCGGAGCGGGGTCCAGGGTGCATCCTCCGCAGACATCCTGGTGCCAGGGTCCGCGCTGGGCACTTGGTATGCTTAGAAAAGCCAGGAGCCTGTGGCCCCTCTCCCGACCCAGGTCATCTCGGAGACAACCGCGTCTCTTTCACCTGAATTCCTTGGGCACGTTCCCTCTGTGCCTTGAATTTCGTTCATTCACACGTTCATTCATTGAGTTGACAAAACTGTGGAGTACCTACTTTGTGGCAGACTCCCGTTTGGTCTTTTATTATTCACTATTTATTTTCTCGGGTTGGTCTGGTTTTCCAGTAGACTCTAAGCCTCTTGAGGACAAGACCACATCTCAAGCTTGTGTGAGCATTTGATGTCCATAAAGGGCCTCTCTCTACAGATCCTTGCTAGAGAGTATCTAATGAACGTTTCAAGACACGGTCAATAAAATACTGCCTCCAAACTCAGACTCGCAGGCTTTGAAGCTTTAATCGTATTCTCCTCAAAGGCTTCCTGCCTCCCCCTCAATCCTACCTCTGGGTGTCTGGGGTTTCCCCAAACTAGAAACCCCAGGAGGCTCAGAAGGGCAAAATGCTAGGACTGTGAGCAGGAGGCCACCAGTGGCAGGGACTGGTGCAGGCTACCAATGGGCAGCTCTACTGCTAATTTAAAAAAATCAAGGCCTGAGGCATCAGGCAGGATTGGGACGACTCTCCAGCTCCTGGGCTCCCCTAAATGCTTCCTGGCTACCACTGGGCTTCCCTTAGCCCTGGCCTGAGACACACAGGGTGCGTGAAAACTGACCCTGACTCAGCCCTCCAGCCTCATCTCCCAACATAACCCAAGAAGCTACTCAGCGTTCCCAAACTCTCCATACCTTTCTGTCTGACTAATCTTACTTCCTTTTCCTACCTGGAAAATTCCACTTATGTTTCAAAACATCTCAGATGTCTTCTCTCCATGTAATCTTGTCGTCCTCAGAGCTCCCAAACACTAGGATACTCCAAAAGACTAGCGCACCTCAGCAGAAGTGTCACTAGCAATTTGCAAGGGCTGGGGGCGGGGAGCCAACTCACAAAGAGTAGCTGGGCTTCCTGACCTGAGCTCCATAGACCTCTCCTAGCTGCTGGAGGGCCTCTAGGTCAGAAGCCATTTCAACAGTGTTGCCATTGCCTTGGTGCAAAATCCAGATCACTCAGCCTGGTTCCATCTCTGTCTAACTATTTATTTGCTTAAATCCCATATATATAACCAGTCTCCCATTCACCTAGGTGTCATCTCAGCCTACCTCTGCAGGCACCAACCACTTGGGGTGGGCACTGACCCAGCAAATATGCCATCTAAATTTCCAGCCCTGTTAGCCTGAAGAACTTTCTTTAGCAAATCTGTAATGAAGGTCCACTGGCAACAAATATGCTCAACTTTTATTTGTTTCATCCTCATTTTTAATGATATTTCTTATGTACAAATTTCTAGGTTAGCAGGGGTTTTTTTCTTTCAGTACTTTAAAAGCCATTGTTGGAGGAGGGTATAGCTCAGTGGTAGAGTGCATGCCTAGCATGCATGAGGTCCTGGGTTCAATCCCCTACATCTCCATTAAAATAAATAAATAAATTACCCCCCCCCAAAAAAGATGTTATCCCACTGCTTTCTGGTCTCCACTGTTTCTGATGAGAAGTCAGCCATCATTTACATTCTTGTTCCCCTATCTTTTCATTCTGGCTTTTTTTTTCTATTTAGTCATTTGCACTCACAGAAAAGTTTCAAAATGCTTGAGAGAGTTCCCCTTTTATTCTTTTTTTTTTTTACAGTTTCATGCATGTAAGTAAAAACATACATGCACATGTAATAAAAGTATAAAACCATGCATGGGATTGATACACATCAACTCGAGGCTGATAGTACCTCTGGGAAGTAGCTGGGGGAAAAGAAGTGAGATGAAGCTTTAGCTATTGTATATGTAAATATTTGCAATTTTCACTTCTTAAAACACATGACTCACGAGTCTGGCCACCTCTGGGTTGCTCAGTTGGAGGCGCCAGATGGAGATCTCTCTCCCCAGCATGTAACAATCATCCTGAATGGTCATGAGCAAAGATTCCAAGGAAATTGGTAGGATGCTTGGCAGGGAGTCATCAGGTCTTATGAGTACAAATTTCCTAAGAATCCGTTCATTGTTGATATTGATTTTCAGGTCTCTTGATGGCTGGACACACGGACGTCTGAGTCTGGGCATAATGCTTCTCATATGTTTTAAGAACTTTTGAAGAGTTGGAACGATGGGCAGGGGTGCTCCTTTAGTTTTTCATTTTCCTTCCTTTTCTCTTGGCATTGTTTCATAGTGTTAGATTCCACTTGGATTCTGAAAACAGTAACTTACCATTAAAAGTGGCTCTCCTTGTTGAATCCAGGCCTGGTGGAGCATTCCAATGAAGCCGGAAGGAGACAGGGGTTGGGCCCCCAGTCTCCACATCCCTCCCCGGGTGAGCTTCCCGCATCAGGTGCGGGCCATGGAGACGGCTGCCCCCTTTATTCTTAATTCAGTTTCCCCTAATGTTAACATTTTGTATCACTGTATCATAATTCTTGAACACAGAAAATTAACATTGATATGATACTATTAACTAATCTAGATACAATATTTGAATTTTGCCAATATTCCACTAATGTCCTTTTTCTGGTCCAGGATCCCATGTTCTATTGTCATCATGTCCTCTTATCTATGTCTTCAATCCTGTTATCTGTGTCTTCAGTCTATGACATTTCCTCAGTCTTTCTTTTTCTTTCATCACCTTGTCACTTTTGTGGCAATTATCAGGCCAGTTTTTGTGTAGTATGTCCCTCAGTTTGGGTTTGTCTCATGTTTGCTCACGACTGTATTGAGGAATTCTAATTTTAGTATATGTGCTACAAAAGCCAACACTATTGATGCATTCTAGACAAAAGTTTTGTGCCTTATCATCACATCGTATCAGGGGTACCTGATGACAATTATCTTACAATGTTAACTTTGATCACATGATTAAGCGGTGTCTGCCAGGTTTCTTCACTATAAAATATTTTTCTCTTTGTAATTAATAAATATTTTATGGGAAGATACTTCAAGTCTATGCTAATATCCTGTTTGTTTTCATACTTTACCCACTAATTTTAGCATCCATCAATGGTTCTTGATTGCAATTAGTTAGTGTGATGTTTGGGTAATAGTGACTTTCTATTTCCTTTTTTCCTTCTACACCTATTAATTGGTATTCGACAGTAAGGAAGACCTGCCCCTTGTCTCTCATTTTAAAGATGCAATTATTTATTTATATCAGTATGAATTCTTGGATATTAATTTTATTCTATGAGTTATAATCCAATACTATCATTGTTTATTTTGTTGCTCAAATTGTCTCAAAGTTGTCTCTAGCGGCTTTTCATTTTTTTATTTTTTTTGTCTCTAACTGCTTTTAAGTTTGGTTTTTTAGCTGCATGACCATAAATTGAATAGGTGTTGTTTTCCTCATATTTTTGCTGCTTGGCGTTGGTGAGACTCTTGGATATATAAGTGGTTTATTTTTCACCAAACATAGAAACTCCTTAGCCATTATTTCTTCCAATATTTTTTCTGCCCATTCTCACTCTCCTTAACCTTCTGAAACTCCAATTACATATATTTTAGATATTGTCTAAAATAAATTATCCCACAGGCCACTGAGGCTCCAGGGTTTTTTTAAAATTTTTTTTTCAGTTAAATAGTCTAGTGATCTCTTTAAGTTTCCCAGTTCTTTCTTTTGCAGTCTCCAATATGCTGCTAAGCCTAGCCAGGACATTTTCCAGACATTGGGTCTTAAGTTCTAAAATTTCCCTTTGCTTCCCTTTCATGGGTTCAGTTTCTCTGCAGAGGTTTCCCATATCTTCAGTCATATGTCTGCGTTTTCCTGTAAATCCTTAAAGACGTTTACAACCACTATTTTAAAGTTCTAGTCTGCTAATCCTGATTCATCTCAGGAACTGTTTCTCTTTATTGCTTTTTGAACAATGGTTGGTCTCAATTTCCTGCTTATTCACATGTGTAGTAATTTTAGATTATATACTAAACATTGTAAATGATTCATTTCGGAGTTTATGTTGCCTTCCCTTGAAGAGTATTGAGTTTTGTTCTATTAGGCAATTAAATTACTGGCGGGTTATCTTGACAGGTTTTATTCTTTTTCAGGGCTGGTCATTTTTAAGTTTATCCTTAGTCCTAGGGTGTTTTTTTGTTTTGTTTTGTTTTTTGTTTTTTAGTGTAGAACATGGTCCTTACTCCTAAGGTGTGGACTTCCTGTATCACCCAAGTATGCAAGTTGCTTAATGAGATCTTTTCATTCTGACTGGGCTAAAACTGCAACATCTCTAGTGCAATCTCTAGTGTTCTGTTCAGCTCTTAGCTGCTCTCTGCTAAGCCTGATAAAGCCCCATCGAGTACACATGCAGCTCATCCCTTATCCAAAGACCACGGGGCTCACCCATGCAGACTTCTAGGGGCACCTCTCTGTTCAGTTACTTCCTCTCTAAAAGCCTTTCCCACAAATTACAACTTCCTTAGCAGTACTGAATTGTAATCTATGCCCTTCAGCTCAGTGAGACCATCGTGTACTTCTTAGACTTCACCTTCTTGCACTACAATCCAGAAAGTTCCCCAGGCAGAAAGCTCGTAAAATATAGGGCTTGTCTCCTGTGTTTCCCTCCCTTCAAGGATTATAATTCTGCTTTGCCAAGTTCAGTGTCTAAAGCAGTTTCTCAAATATTTTATCTCAGTATATTGTTGTTTACTGTGGGAGAGCAAGTCCCATACCAGTCACTTTGTCACAGTCAGAAACAGAAGTTCTGTGATTACTGATTTATCCAACTCCACCCCTTGTACCATCACCTCTCTGTGGTGGACAGGAGATCCCTGAGTGCAGGGGCAGAAGCTTATTATCTTTATATTCCCCGGTAGGCCCTTGGTAAATAAAAGAATTTCTTCC